AATGAGAATTTACCTGCAGTTATCAGTTAGTATTTAGGGTTAGGTATTTTAATCTAATTAACCTTTATAAAATTCTTTTATAATTTAGACCAACTTACGAGTCTACTATAGGCATTGACTTTTGAGCAGAGGTAAGTTGGTTTAAACTATAGAAGTAAATTAACAGAACGTTTAAAAATATCTAATTGGCTATAGTTTTCCTATTTTCGTAAAAATGAGGAGTAAAAGTAATTGCAAAATTTATAAAGAAATAATGAAGGTTAATAATTTATAAAGAAATAATGAGGGTTAATAAAGAAATATAAATTAACACAGGATATTTCAAATTGTGTGATTGCTAATTANTCTACTATAGGCATTGACTTTTGAGCAGAGGTAAGTTGGTTTAAACTATAGAAGTAAATTAACAGAACGTTTAAAAATATCTAATTGGCTATAGTTTTCCTATTTTCGTAAAAATATATAGAAATATAAATAAATACATTTATAAAGAAATAATGAGGGTTAATGAGGGTTAAATTTTTTACACAGGATATTTCAAATTGTGTGATTGCTAATTATATGTTGGTATAGCCTTCATTGATTTTCTAAAGGTGTTTAATTGGTTAGATCATTCATCAACAAGTTATATCAACTTACTAAACATTTTTAAGTTTCTGTATGAATGAAGACAGTATTTAGAATTGAGCGGACTGAAATCTGTTGAAATCTCAGCAACTTCTGGGCTTCCTCAAGGCTCCCTATTGTGCACCCTTTTACTTATATTTTTTAAATGACATTGTAGTTGATAATAATATGGATGTGTACTGTTTGCTATTTGCAGCTGATATGCCATATTATTGGTAAATACAATTATACAAATGATTCAGAATAACTTTAATAAAATTCAATAACGGTGACTCAGAAACAAACTTCCGTAATATTGACAAGTGCCATATTGTTGCCATTGAATTGGACTATAAACTAATTAGATCACATCTTATTTATTCTGAATACTTCTGTAATCTTAGAGTAGCACTTGATTATAAATTAACAATTGTTTTGTTAATGTTTTGTTCAAAATGTGTACTTTCAACTATTTATTTTATTACATTTTATTGTTTCCCAATCTGTAATTGGTTAATGTATTTAATAAAAAATATATATCATCGGGTTCAGTAATACATTAAAACTACGAGCTTCTTGCACAATTGCTACAGTAAAAGCCTTCTATCGAATCGTAAGCCTTAATGACTCCTTGAGAAGGATAATACAATATTTTACAGGCAGACAGGTTAAAGTAGGAGTATGGAAACATAAATCCCGACGAATGTTTCCCTTTTTGCTCGTATCAAATACCCGTTATGATTTATAACTTTTAAATTATCGATACTTCGTGTTTTTGTTGTTGTGAAACCAGGGCCCGAAGGTCGGGGCCCTTAAAATATTATATCTGTTCGACGTGCCATCAATCTTTTCATATTTACTCATTCTCTCCTTTTCCATTCCCCCACTTAATTGTCTCTCATGCGTGTAGGCTGACAGATTTATTTTATAGGGTATTCCATGTATTTGTTACTTAAGATAGAGCAATAAATCAGACCAGACATGTGAAATTTGCTCCTTATTTGAATATTGTAGACTGGCCGTTTTATCTGATGGAGAGAAGACAATTATTTGCCGTTTACTTTACACTAAAGAATTGCTTTTAAATTTTTTCGAAGTATTAAAACTATATTGGAACTTCGATATACCATCGAATGCTTGTAGTACGAATTACCAGGTGACTCGTCATGATATAATCGGGTAAATCTACATAGACAGCTGTGTAAACCTAGTCTGATGTTCAATCGAATAATCAAACAAAATTTTGTAGTTGTTTACATCACTGTCATGACAGGATGCTAAATGGCGCCTCTGTTTTTGCTGTTCGGAACCACAAGCTTCATGCCATCTATGCTAAAATTTGATGTATTACTACATTCATTTTCAAAGTTAAAAGCATAAAAACAAACAGAGATAACTGTATACATTACTGAGTTCAAAACATTTGATGACATAAATGCATTGAAAGTAAGTAATTTTACACATTTTTAAATAAGTATGGCTTCCTATTAAGACCATATTCGAAAAAGTGGAAATGTTAGGATATTTAGAGAATTTCCTATATTATGTTATAAAATAAAGAAAATAAAAGAGGCAGTAATAAAATATATACAATGTGGGTTCCAAAGTAAACAGGACTTTTCAAAGATAGACATTACTTGTGAGGCCATCTATTGGTAATTACATGCGTCCGAAAGGTACTGTCAAAATTTCATGACATTTGGATAGAAAGAGGCAGATTATTGCATCTGACTTGACAGTATGTTTGAACTATAGTTGCTCTATACAAGACAGAGGCGACAATAGCGACTAAACCCCGCCCAACTGCCATGTTACATCCAATGTCAAATTAAAAGTAACTTTTATAAAAAATAAAGTTCAAAAATATTTTTCTTATAAATTTTACGCACAGATTTTAACCAAAAACAATTCACTTGAAAAGTTATTTTAAATAATGTATGAATGTAGAGAATCTATTTGTGCAATAGGGGGGGATAAATATAAATTTTATAATTATATAAATTTATAATAATAGCAACCATTGGTTTTTATTTTCCAGGCAGTAAAATTAAGCAAACCTACATTACACAATGAAATTTATTGGCTTAATATTACAAAAACAAATACTTAATACTAGTGATAATATTTATTACAGTAAATGTCCAGCAACACTTTTACTTGCCAGTTTTTTTTATGCTTTTGGGCATTTTTTGGAAGCTATTTTTATAAATCTTTTAACAATTTTATTTTTGATCTGATGACAATTTGGTACATCTAAATATAAACCAGACATTTCTTTAAAAAAATCTTTTAAATTTATGTTTTGTGAAGATATAATCACAAAAATTTTGTAAAAACATTTTCCATCTGCAAGAAAAAACAAAATACCGCCTCATTGCAAAAAAGGGTGAATGTTCTCTAAATCTCTTAAGTACGCTAAATTTTGAAAATGTTTTATAAATCGGCGTTTCAGAATCAACAGCATGTACATAGTTTGTACAAGTTTTTGATGTGTTAATGATACTTTGATCAATATATCCGCACACATTATAAAGAGAATTTAATTCACTAAACTAAGATTAAACTTTGGTTCTTCTATGTTAGTAGGAACCTTAACTTCCTCATAAGTAGGTGTTATATTTTTTGTTATGGTGTCCAAAAAGCCTGAAAGAAATTGACGGTCGTCGTCCTCATAGGAGCTTCTGCAGATATTTTTAAATATTGAGATATACATATTAATTTTAGATTGTTTTTCACTTGAACAGCATTTGGGACTATCTGTTTACTTCTAGGACAGAAAATAAATTTTCTAGACAGTCTTGTGAAAATCTACTAGTCAAAACAAGTTTATAACCTCTTGTGTCAATAAGTAGCTTTGCACATCTAATACTGATTGTGTTGAGATTAATAATCCTGTCTATGAAGATTACCCAATTTTTTTTATAGCTAATCTCAATACTTGACATTACATGAAGTCTTTTAAAAACCGAATTGATACATCGTATACTTTTGCTTAAAGCACACGTTGGGGGCCTGGATGTCATTAACAAGAACCACTTTTCGATTTGGTCCAAAAACCAAGCAGTGGTCTAATATGCAGGCTTCTTTAGTTCTTCGCCAAGAAATTTTACTAACGGAAAATTAAAATATAACAATACGATAAAACAAACAATATGTTACGCCATAAAAACGCTCCTGACACAGGACACATCTCAGATGAATTTGACACTTCATGCAACATGGCAGCTAAAATCACGTGGACCAATTAAAAATGATACACTTTATTGTCGCCACTGTCTTGTATAGAGTCGTTGTGGTTTGAACCGATTTAAAACGTTCAAGTGAAAAATGTCGCGCGCGATCGAGAGCGGTATTCACGCGCATGCACTGTTGCCAGCGCGTTTATTACATGAACTATCAATTTAAAACTTTTTGAAAATAAAAGGTTAACCTTTTGTTTAATTGTCTTTAAAATCCCGGTAGGTGATTTTTCTTGTTTTTTAGAAATACCGTAAAAATCAGTTCCATTTCATTAAAAAAGAGTGAATTCCCGAGCGGCTTTTGCCTGACCTTGGACAAATAGTTATAACGCTGTTTTGTACATCGTCTTTGTTAGTTGTAAAGGGCTACTGAATTTCAATATTATGAAATTTTTCTTTTTCGATACGTTTCTTTGGATCCATAGGAACCTATATTGCGATATTAACTTCTAATATTAACGTTTAGTAATTAAACAATTAGCTGTAAAAAATGAACGAAATTAATTAACAAATACCTGGAGCAGCAGTTTCATGGTCAATTGAAATGACCATTGGCGCACATGTGGATTGTCCATCTTTTCCATAAATTTCATCAACATCCATCTCTTTTTGCAATAATAATACGCAATTTTCGTATATACAATATAAATGAAAGCATGTTATATAGATATCAGGGCAGTTTTATATATTTCTGTATAGTTTTACGGACCCCTGTTTTATTGATATTACGATGCAGTTTGTTGGGAAATAGTAGCTTACGGAATAAGCTATATTCTCTACATGTAGAGGTAAAACGAGCAACCTAATAAATTTGATTCCATTTCTTACAAAATTATGTGCTCATTGAAAGTTTAGCTTTGAATCCAAAATGTCCTGATAAAACGTTTATATGTATGTATATTTATACTCAACGTTTATATGCTTCTTGTAGTACGAGTTTTATTGTCTCAAATTACACTTATATTTTTAGATAACCTCCGAAGCTGTCAAAATTAGAATTAGAAATCTTAGAGAATAAAATTAATATAAAATTTCTTTTTTAGATTAAAACAAAATAATAATAAAAGTGGACATTCCCTTATATAAAACATATAAATGTTTTAACGCAGTTTAGATGTATTTTAGCATTTAGTTGATGTCAGTTTGACAGGTGACATGAAGTCTTTCACAAATATTCCTTCAAGTATAAATATTATATGTTTGCTGATAAATATATGCGATGTCTGTGCGATATGGCCTCCAGCGTATAGCGTAAATTTAAGTCACGAGGAAACATTTGTTATTTCCGAACCACTGAAAGACAGCGACGTTCAGGATGTGTATGATGAAGAGGAACTGATTGAAAAAGAAGATTTAGCTGAAAGACGGAGCATGAAGTCACAAAATGAAAAATATTTTCGGATCCATCGACAGGTAGGCAGATACAACGACAAATTTGGAGGTGAAGACGGCTACAATAAAGATAAGATCAAAGTTTTTGAAGAATATAATCCCGATGTAGATGATCCTGTTCCTTGGAAAGCCGGTTTTGTGGATGAACACGGAAAATTTAAACCAGACGAAGGTATTATCTATTTCGATGGAGAACCACAGAGGTACTTTGGTAACAATAAACCAAAACGTGAAGAAGAAGCAGCAGATAAAAACGACAGTGTAAGTTACGATTATAATAGTTTGAAGAAGGAATATGAGAAAAACATAAAGGCTGCAGAAAAGTCAAACGACACGGTAAGATATTCCACGGTTAAAGAGGAAGAATCTATTAAAGAATCCGTTAAGGCAATGTTTGACTTCAAGAAGACTCCAAGAAACTGCACGGTGGAGGAATCGAAAGGTATAGGCTTGGGAGCCATGGAATGCTTCTGGATGGAAATGAAAAAGCCGAAGATAAAAAATCACGTCTTTGCAAAAGCGATACGGATAATTATAATTTGGGTACTTCTGTACGTGGTCATAGCTGTACCTTGTTGGTGTCAGTACGGATGGGGTTGTTGCTGTTGTCGCTGCAAGTTTTGTAGACCTAGAGAAAACATACTGGAAGTCCAGAAATTCTTCGCGGAAAATCCGGTGGGAGTTTATCATGATGAAAATGGCAAAGTGTTTAACTATAAACCGACAAGTTATGAGAAGTATGCTTACAAAAAATTGGAGCAGCAGCTCAACAAACTCTGAAATTCATTGGTCATCAGTGTTGTTTAAGAAATACTTGTTTCGATACCTTATTATAGATATTAGACAATACATATTCGCTGAGTGCCCAAGTCTATATGAAATTGCGTGCTGATTACAATATTTAAATTAATTATTGATTGCTATATACAAGTATTTGAAAAATAAAACTTCAACAGTTTTTTGAATTTTTGACATATATTTACTTAATAATCCTTCATTTTTGGATACATATTTTCAGTTTTTTTTTATCATATTTTCAAAATAGAACTATGTGGAACTACGTATCCCACAAATGGAAACAGTATAGTTCCACATAGTTCTATTTTGAAAGTATGATAAAAAAACTGAAAATACAGGGTGATTCAGAACTTATTAGAAAAAAAATCTGGATGTACAGTGGACCCTTACAAATACAATTTTGTAAAGAAAAAATCAAAAAGGGCAGTTCGAAAATGATTTAAAAATACACTTCTGCACGGCACTGGAAACTGGTCCACTGTAAAACCTGACCTCGCACAATGCGACCGGCATGGCGGTGTGATAAAAACGGACAAAAACTTTCGCAAGGAAAGAAATATGTAAATAGAATTTTATCGCACCTATTTTATATCGGCAAATTCAACTGCTTTTGCCTTTATTAATTAATAAAATTAATTTGTGTTTTTAAATAATAAAATCATTTGACATACCCGATGTTACAACAATTGTTCAAAATTTTATCCACCAACGTGTAAACACATTTGGGTCCGTCTTACTCAGTTTCTACGAACTAACACAAATGTTGTCTTGCTTCACCATATCACAAATGCTTCACCATAAATTAAAACGATATCCATGAACTCCGAGTTGCTATACACGCAAACCATTTTTGACACTAACTACCAATTTTTGACACTAACTACTAAAAAAACTATGGAACAGATAACAGGTAAATACTATTGCAACGACGACTGCAATATCCGATTTCAGTATTCGGAGTCGCTGAGGCTACGTGGCTCTCCACGCGCATTGCGAATGACGCTAGAGACTACAGTTGTCCAGCTATGTAGTCATTGAATGTACTTCAATATTGTTTTTCTCGGAAACTATAAGGATTTAACAAAATTTTTTTTACGATATTGACTCCATTTCTCATGCCGCATCTATTCCCAAATTTTTTTGGATAAGTTCTGAATCACCCTGTATGTATCGAAAAACTATTAAGGCTTATTAATTTATATCTGTCAAAAGTTCAAAAACTATTGAAGTAGAAATTTGAAAAACGGTTTGGAGGGATAAATGTGCATTTTTTATAGCGATCCCAATATTTCTACTTCCACCAGTGGCATTCGTGCGAGAATACACAACTTTTTGTCATAACAAAAATCGTACACCATTGACTTTTTCCCGTTGTGATATATTTTTACAAATTCGCCATCAATTCTGATTGAAATTGGTCTCTTCATTTTTTTTCGTAGGATGTACCGTTTTTGAAGAAAAAAATAAAACGTATTTTACTTCAAGTTGCGTATTTTTAATTTCTATTGATATATTATCTAGCAGGTTGCTGTCAACATTTCTAAATAAAATACAACCATCAAATTTCGAGTCAATATCTTTACAATTCTTTGACACAATAAAAATAAATAAAAAATTTTAATTTAAACACTGTATGTCGGAAATTAAGCATATTTCGACCTACGTTTATTTGAACTTTTTTTCACAAAATAACTTCGGCAACCACCCCCTAAAATATTTCGCAATTATTTACAAACACCCTGTATATAATTTCTACCCTAATGATTTTTATTACATTTCTAACATATCACGTGTAAATTGTTTTTCTTTTCCAATTGTATTTGTAGGTTGTGTATTTGAAATGCCACTGGTAAAGAAAAACACTAAAATTAAATTTGCTAAATACTAATTTTAAGTGGCATCGAAATTTCTAGGTTCCTAGTGTACAGCCTACAATCTATCCAGTTTTAACTAATTAGATAGATACATTAGTGACCTATGTTTCATCAGTCTATGTCAAAGATCCTCAGATTTGCTTTGAAAAATGTGATTTTAAGTACGAAGTACGACTCACGTCTACACAAAACGTTTTGCTTAAAATATTTCTATCTCCTTGTGGAGTTTCCTAATTAAAACCTGGGTCAATGAAGTGTTCTGAAAAAGAATGGGCTTAATTCACATTTTATTTACTTTTGGAAAACAGTTAACGCTCTTTGAAATAAAACTAGCTAGCCTGAAATACAATTGATGCTTTCTGAAGAAAATGTTACGCTTTAGTCTGATAATGATCAATATTCCAACAGCAATTAAAATGTTTTTTGACTGTTGTAGATAAAAAAATGTTACCACCACTGAATGTTGAACAATTTCCGGGCTGTTTGTAACGCCGTCGGTTGAGAGTTACTGACATTTAGAGAGACATATCGCTATCTTCTTCAGCTGAAACTCTTAAAGAGTAGATTAAATCCTCTGGCTGATTACACGGACCAACAAAATTTAACTCTTTTTGGAAGCAGAAACTTGAATATATATTTCCGAAGGATTTAGGTGCGCTGAATCCGAATCTGGCAGCAGAATTACTCTATCACGTCAGGTTTTTGAGATATCCTAACCTAAAAGTGCAAAAAACACTGTATTTCGTCATATTTGAGGTTATGTGGTAATGTCATCTATTCTATTTAAAAAACTAATACATTGAATCTAAAAGTACAAGACTCCCCCCTTCGAATGCCGTTGAGTTTGCTCAAATCTTTTTTTTCGTTGAGATATCACATGTTGAAATTTTAAAGTTTCTCAGTTTCTTAATATTTGCGAAAATCTACTAAGGATCCCTTAGACATCAAGCAGTCGATTGCAATTCAGAAACTTCATACCCAGAAACCTTCAATACATACCAACTCAAACCCACGAACCCCAAATCCACAAACTCCAAACTCACAAACCACAAACCCACAAACCTCCAACCCACAGACCCCAATCCCAAAAAACCCGAACCTACAAACTCCAAGCCTACAATCCCCAAGCCCACCGACTCCAAACCCACAAACCTTAATCTGATGAGTAGCCTAACGGCCCATGAATCTTAATTTCATAAATTCTAAGCTCACGAATCATGGACTGTTAGGTTACTTATCAGACTACAGTTTGTGGGTATGCTGTTTGTGGGTTTGTGGATTTGGGATTTGTGCGTTTGTGAATTTGGAGTTTGTGAGTTTGGGTTCGTATGTATTGAAGGTTTCTGAATATGAAGTCTAAGAGATCCTTAGTAGATTTTCACATATTAAGAAACTGATAAACTTTAAAATTTCAACATGTGATCTCAACAAAAAATAAATATTTGAGCAAACTCAATGGCATTCGAAAGTGGGAGCCTTGTACTTTTAAATTATATGTATTAGTTTTAAGAATAGATGGCATTACTACATAACCTCAAATATGACGAAAAACAGTGTTTTTTGCACTNGATTTTCGCATATTCAGAAACTGATAAACTTAGAAATTTCAACATGTGATATATCAACGAATAAAAAAATATATTTGAGCAAACTCAACGGTATTCGGAAGAGGGAGCCTTGTACTTTTATGTATTTTATTAAAAATAATAGATGGCAATACTACATAACCTCAAATATGACGAAAACAGTGTTTTTTTCACTTTAGGTTAGGATATCTCAAAAACCTGACGTGATAGAGCAATTCTGCGGCCAGATTCGGATTCAGCGCACCGGGAATGCATATTAGTGTGTCTACTTCGTGACCCTTGTTGACCTGTGTTACCTATATATATATTTTTTTTAGTCTGTGCACTGGTCCATGACGTTCCGATGCATGACTTCTAGTCCATGACTTCCGACTTTTGATTTCACATTCCAGGTGATTCTAACCACTTGAAATTATCTCGAAACTTCTGTATTTCTATTGTCCTGGAATCTTGATATGTTGTAAATGGTATTAATATTATGTTGTTTTAAGATATGGCCATGTCAGTAAATTCTTTTATACCAAATAGATTGTTGGCAGATATTTCCCTATTTCCTTGTCCTTCTGTATACTTCTGATGGCGTTTCCAATATGTCTGTTAGTAAGTGCTCTAGTTTTTTGTCTAGGTGTTCCGGCTTGTACATAGCACCTGCTCATTATACTAATGTGTTGACAATACCTTGTTTCCTCAGCATTCAGATATCTATCTGCACGAGTCAAAGGCTCTGTCCTAGGCTATCATTTGATTTTCTCTTAATATGGTGAAGGAATGGTAGGGTACCTACCATTTTTTTTCAATTCTCATTGAGTAGCTGTTGTCCAGATGTATCCCACTTATGTGTCAATAGTCAAAGCTATAAAAAACTGAAAGAAAATTAATAAATTACCATACTCGTTAGCTGTCAATGGAAGTTGATTTTGGATATAACATATTACATATTCGGAGTGGAAAACATACTACAGAACTCGATGTATAAGAAGATCCAGAATAGCTCAAGCAGGGAAGTTAGGAGAGAGGTGGCGTTTGCGATTCGAGCGTCTAATTTCTCCGTAGCAACTTTATTTTGAGTCATACACGAACACCTTCCACTGTATTGCCTTCCAAAAGAACATAAGCCAAACGTACCACTCCGACCAATAGTGAGTGCAGTTGGATGGATCACCCACTCCCTGAGTACATATACTGGCGGGAAGGTAGGAACATCTTGTCAAAAACACTGAAGATTTTAATGACAAGATCAAGGGAATACTAGATCCATATGATATTCCAGGGAGTTTAACGTAACGTCCCTATTCCCACGTCGCCATCATTACGCTTCAGGTCTCAACTAAACTCCTCATTATTTATTACAACCTTAAGAGAACATGAGCAAATTCGTTCCATAAAACGCGGGCATTAAAACAATGTTTCCATGAAATTATCTTGGGAAAAGAAACATATTTAAAGTTATCTGAGGATTCCCAGCTTAAAATTATTATTTAAACGGACTCCGGCCGTAAAGAAGCTCCGCTAAATAGCCGCC